ATTTAACGTTTAAATTCATGTCTCATGCAAATGTTCATTGAAGTACACGCATCATCCATCATGATTTTTTTTCATTCCATGTCACTGCGTGAAATATGTGAAGACCTGTCCATGAACCACAGCCTCATAACACTAATACAATCAACGGGTAGTATGTGAGCTGACAGTTCACGGACAAATCTTTGTAACTAAGAACTTGGCTGGAGTGGAACATGATTGCACGCGGTGATCTTTAAAGTGACACATGTTTCTCATTAATTGCAAGTGTCATGAGGTAATAAATAGATGATAACATCCACTCTGTGCAAATCACCAGTGTAATATAAACTAACGTCTCTGTGTTTTGTCATATGTGGTATTCAGAACCAGCATGAGAGTTTTCAATCTATCAATCATTATTCGGACCACATGCTTTTCGGGGATTTGTACAGATTCAGATATCGCACATACACGAGTATCTCCCTATGTTACATTCATTAGTTGTGTCGTTCGTGTTATATATGTTTACGTCCTGTCTTCAAAAATCAATTTATTGTATCTTAACGTGTTGTGGTTTGTTCAATATTTTTGTTTCATAACGAGATCAAGTCGTATTCAGGGTCACATGCCCCAAACGATAAATAGGGTTGTTCATGTGCAGATTGGTGAATGACGGTGACACCTATAATTTCACCGGCTACCCAAATTACAGGCACCATTTACTATGCTATGCCTGACATATTATTTCAGTAATTTTTATGCACGTCTTTACAAGTTGAGTAACGACGATGACATGCTATGAGACGTCAAATTGAACAGATGTGACAGATGCCAGTCGTATTTGATAGATGTTGTGAACACCATATTAAAGAATAGTGACCTTCTATCTTAACATCAAATTGGCGTGGTAGGGGGCAACAAATGAACGGCAACCGATACGGGCGAAAAGAGCCGTTAAATGGATAAATATCATTGTTGTTGATAATAAGTACCCTGGGTAATGTCACCGCTATAAATATACACCATCACGTCTAGAATAAAAATCCATGTATATTTATTTTCTAATACGTTACAATATCCAGACAATTTATGAGAATAAGGCTGCCACATGCTAAACACATTTCGGTCTTTGAACGATTCTTATCTTTGGTGAATACCACAATGCATTGCAAATGTACGTGGGCGATTCTATACAAGACAGACGTCAAACGTCAAGGCAAGCACACTTTATAACGAATGTAGGTTGTTTTGGCCAAGTTTAGTGCACGTTTGCAAGTACTCAAATATCATAAAAAGCTGTTTAAAATATTCATTGCGTGTATATCACACCCTACAGGCAGGAAAATCATGAACTCAATATTCAGAATTTTGAGTATATTTATATTCGATGGTACGTACGACTAGAGAGCCTAATATACTTGTACCTGGGGTTAAATAATTATCTGTTTTAGATAAATAAATGATACCGCTTTGTTGAAAATATTCACAAAATGAATTACAAATAGTAAGTAAGTACACATTTTTTTTTGACATATTCGTATTAACATAAGGCCTTTGATTTCTGGATCTATGTCTTTGAGTTTTTGTTTTGTACAAACACAATTTATTCTCATGCTGTGTGCAACTCACATGTAAGCTGACTGTGGTTCCAAGAGCTTCCTCGTTAGATTGCTTCCAAACTGCTTGACTCTTGACCCATGCTAGCGCCGAGATGGCTCCAGGACACCTTGATGTGACTTTAGACTCTATCGGATTTTTTTACAGTTTGGAACTCGATCGCTACCAATTACCAGGCGACAAATTACGAATACAACCTCTCTACCGCTACTCTATGTTGCTGAAATTCTCCAACTATTCTCTATAACAATCGGAAGAGTTTTGTACAGTTTATGCGAAATCGTATCCAGTAGTATAAAATAAAGCAAGTTATGCAAACATCAAAATGCACCCATACAACTTTATGGTGATCAGTTAAAGGTATATAAATATAAAAAGTAAAACAAAGACACGTAAAAAGATGTGAGTATTTATTGACTCATATAGTGATATAGAAACAGTGCCTAACAGCCTTGGTAAAGGAAATGTTGTAATAGTTCAAACCATAGTTCTCTCTTGAGCCTCTCACGGGCAACTTTTGAAATCTTGTCATATACATGACATGTATGTCACTGAGGGCGCTCTGATTTCAATGAGCCTAAACATTCTCGAATCAATGAAGGGTCTCTTATTAAATTGTTCCCCTTATGAGGGCGTTTTGTTATTTTAAGTGTGGAGTTGTGCGCTTCTGTGATAAGACTGTAACGTAAAATATCTGTTTTTCCAGTGGTTTCAAACGTTTTGGAAAATCACATTCTGATTATGGCCTTTTGGCAGCAGCGTCGTCAGGTTTGAGACAATAACATCCATGTGAGACTGCCTTCAGTAGACTTAATTATCATTATATCAATGTCAAAGCTATTACTTTGCTTACCTAATACTTTGTTGTGTCAATTTCAAGGGTGTTCATTGTGAAAATGGACCCGTGATTTCTGGGGTCATTCAGGTGTTCATTCTAGGTCTTTATTCATGTGTATTAATGACATGTCACTTGAAGTTTGTCACACAGATATTGATATGTACGAGGATGACTCCACAGTACACACATCCGTCAAAACTGTATCTGAGTTAAATTGTAAACTTACTGACGAGTTAAACAAAATAAATGTTTACAACCTCCTAGAATTTAGGAAATTTATCTACCTCCGATCGAGATCTAAATGCCAGAATTAATGGGAAACCATTCAATCATAGTTGAAAGTATAAATGTTAGCTAATCTTGCACTATTTTGCCAATTTCAATCAGAATTACATTTTACGCTCCTAATAATTACAAGTCAAGACAAATACAAACATTTCGATAAAGGAAAAAATGGATGATTTGTTCAGCTTGTGTTGAATACCCAAACTCCATTTAACACCATACGAAGCAAATGTATTGCCATCAAAAGTTTAACCAAAGAGTTGTCTAAGAGAAGTGATATGTGTCGAATAT